TAACTCTCGCACGGTATATAAGATGTTCAACGTTGCTGTTACACGCTATGTACTGTCCTACATTTTTGTGTTTAACGTAAGTTACATATAGAAAATATATCTTTTTTCATGAAGAAATCACAAAATAGTTTGAAAGTTTCCGTTTAATAAACAGTTTGTGGTGTGTATTGTTCCCGTTTAATAAACAGTTTGTAGTGTGTGTGTGTCGTCTCCCGGTGGGAGAGCGTTAACACTACGTACATACAACGTTAAATTCCGGGGTTCGATTCAACGCGGTAGACCAAGCAAACAGACCAAATGGTTTTGCTCTAAAACAAACAAATAAAGAAAGCATTAAAAATATATTTACCTGCGCATTTCATAAAAATTACCCCCTCCCCCAATGGCTCAGTGTGTGAACAACTTTTTCCTATAATCTGACGTAGAGTGGTTGTAATTAATTATTGTTACGATAGTGGAAGTCACGTGACACTGCTAGCGAATGCATCACTGTGTTTCTCGAATTATCGGGCTAGTTCGAGTGTGATCGAGACGCCTCTTTGTTAGTATATAAGCCTGGCAAGGAAAGATTGCGTCAATGTATGGATGATAAAGCGAACAGTAGTTACCGTAAGTTTCGGGTAAATTACGATTCTGTTTCGAGCTAGTTTGTGTTTTGCACTCGTCGAAAGCGAAGTTATCGAAATAGTGAATCGCTGTGATTTATAGTGTGTATTATAAAATTAGTTAAGTTTAAAGTGACGAGAAAATTTCTCGTACTGATTGTGGAACTTTCTGTGTACTAAAAGTTTGTGTCTAGAAAGGATAAACTGGTTTAACCAAGAAAGGACTTGTATTGCTGAAGTTCCTCGGAAAGAATTCCTACCGGGAATTAACAAACAAGCAAATATGTAATAAATTGGTGTCAGAAATGGGATGGAAAACGAAAAAACAAGATGGAAACGAGAAGTAGCAAATCAAACTACAACTTAGCAGATTTGATGGCAGCAATATAAGAACAGCAAAAGAAACAAGAAGAACAAGAAAACAGGCTACAGCAGTGGTTGAAAGAAAATAAATGAAACAAGAAGAACGAGAAAATATACAAGAAGAGAGACTACGGGAGTGGTTGGAGGAGAAAAAAATAAACAAAAGAGAGGCTACAGCAGCGGAAAGAAAATCAGTACCAGTTTCAACTGGAATAAGAAAGGAAACAAGAAGTACAAATGGAAAAGATTAGTAAATTTCAAAGTGAATTAAATAATTAAAGGATGATTTACTGTCTTTTGCACAAGGAGGATATATTAGCCATGGACCTAATCAGCCCCAGAAAACAGGAAGTCCATTCCAGTCCTCACAGCTAATCCCAAATGCAGACATCGTCAGTCCTGCCAGAAGTCACATCCCAGACATAAGTGTCAGCAATAGGATTGATCTAGTACGAAGGAAGCCATAGGAATTCGATGGGAACGCACCCTAGGAAGCATATAGAACACAATTTGAACTACTAGCAGAAATGAATGGATGGACAGAGGAGCAGAAAGCAGTGTACTTGGCAACGAGCCTGAAGGGACAACCACTGGAAATATTTGGACAGCTGTCAGCAGATGACAGGCACAACTATAGAGCACTGGTAGACTGATCTACAGCTCAGGTATGGAACTCAAAATCAGTCCGAAGTCTACAGGATTAGGTTTATGACAAGAGTACATGCTAAAGGGGAGAGTCTGCAAGAGCTGGCACAGGATTTGGAAAGTATGGCACACAGGGCCTAACCAACTATACCATCCAATCGTCCTCAAGCCGTTGATGAGGGATCAGTTTGTAGACGCCTCAGACAGTCCACAACTGAAGACACAAGTAAAGCAAGCACACCACCTCTACTATGCAG